GGGGTGAGGGTGGGACAGATGACCTCAACTCTTCCCCTCCCCACCTACTCCTGAAGCTCATACTGTAGCTCAAAATGCCCATGACTTCTGAGCAGGTATCACCCACCGTGGTGACACAGGGACATTAGGGTGACTGAGAGTGGGGCCTGGTGATGGGCGTGAGACACAGGCTCATGTCCTACCCATGTTCCTCAGGCTTTCCGTTTGTCCGGCTTGGAGGAATTAAATGACACCCTGGAGGGCAGAGCAGCGTTGGGACCTCCACACTCAGCGGCCCCTGAACAGCGAAGCAGTGCACCCTTCCAGGGACGGGCAGCGCGGGTTACGGGTTATCGGGATTCTGCCCCAGGCCCCAGGGCGCCCCCAGGCCCTCTCTGGGAGCTGGAAGGGGAAGAGGGGAAGGTCTGAACTGCAGCAAACGCAGCCAATCCTGCCCTTAAGGGCAAGGACACAGCTGGGTGCTGCGGCGCCACCAGCAGGCAGACGAGGGGCCTGTACCAGGGGCTGAGCCGCTCTGTGACCAGGAGCAGCCCCACTGGAATTTATCAACTTGTTCCTGATTCTCCCCAAAATGCCAGGCTTTGGAGGGCTGGGGTGGGAGAGCATCACAGAGTTCTGGAAGGAGGGAAGCATGATTCCTGCAAAGACAGTTTGGCAGGGCTTTGAGAAGCGGCCCCCTGAAAGCCCCCGCTGCTGACGTGACACATCAAAGCTGGCGTTGAGACAGCACCGTGGCAGGAGCAGCAGGGGGCTCTCGGGAGTAGCTGTGCTCAAAGCCGCGGCCTGTCCCCTGCTACGCAGGCTACAGGGGCGCCGTGCCCCACCAGGACCTGCCACCTTCCAACCTGTGTTCTTTGACTGCCTGGCACCCCCCTGCGTCCCCATGCCTATTTAAATGCTCCTCCTGAATGGGTGTTGTCAGGGAGGGGAGGTGAATCTCAGGAAACTGGGAAAACGTCCTCAGGATGGAAAGCAGCTCGGCCTGTGGTCGGGAGGGGACCCCAGGGGACTGGAAAGAATGGAAGAGGAAGAGAGGGGAGGGGTGACGTGGAAGGGGGTGGGGAGGGGGGCAGGGCTGCTTCCTGCCCACCCCCTCCCTCACCAACCTGGGGAAGCTCCCCATACCTGGGAGGAAACCAGCACTGGCAGGAGACACCCTCCCTCTCCAGCGACTTCTCCCAGATGGGTGGGGTTCTTCGGTTTGGGGGTTGACTTAAGCCACTGGTTCCCAGGGCTCATCCCTGGAACAGAAGCACCCGAATCACTTGAAAACTCGTTAGAGATGTAAATCCTCAGCTCTACCCGAGACCCGCCGAATCATAAGTCCCAGGGTGGGGCCCAACAATCTGTGCTTTAACAAACCCTGCCAGGATCCTGTTGCGTGATCAAGTTGAGAACCACTGGCTTGAGCAAGATGTGAAGTGCCGGGGGACAGTATTATAAGGACTCAGAGCTATCTCGAGATGTTGGAACCAGGGACTGAGTGGATGCCGGCTAGCCTCCTTCCTACCTCTCTGGTCTCCACTTTTCTCTATGCATCGTTCATTCAATCTCTCTCTGCCTCTTGCCTTCACTCTTGACTTTTGCTGTCCACCTGATAACAACATGGTGGCCCCATACTTTCAAGCGAACACATTATAAGTCTGGTTCCCAGCAGAGGTGCTCCCTCCTTCCCTTGCTGGCTGCTCTGCCTTTTTCTTCCAATTCCACATCCCTGGAAAAGCCATTCTGGATCTGAGCCTGGTTTCTCTCTTTCCCTTTGTGCTGACTTCATTCTCTTGCACACCTCTCATGCCTGCAAAGTGGCTGCTGAAGCTCCAGCTCTTACATTCTCCCAGCTTCTGATCTGGTGGAACATAGGGTTGCACTCATGTCCTGGGCCTGACTTTCACTGGCTAGGATTGGGTCACAGGCAGCCTCTGAAGCAATCACAGTGGCAAGGGGTGAGATATGCCGCTCAGCTTAGACCAATCAGGGCCCTCCCCTGGATCGGAGGGTGGGATTGACCTCACCTAAATCATCCAGACTAAAGAGCAAGAGGGTGACTCCTCAAAGGAACTCTGGGGGACTGGGCTACTGGAAGTGGGGTGTACGGAAAATAAAAATAAAAGCAAAAACTACAATATGGTTACTGATTTCAACTGGTGAGGTGTGTGAGGCCTAGAGGTCACGACTTGCCCAGGGTCAGCTGGCTGGAGGGCAGCAGCCGTTATGTAGCCAGGAGAAGGGGCCTGCCCTGGGCAGAGGTGGGGCGAGTCTCTGCTCCACGCGACAAGGGCCGTCCCGGAGCCCCCGCCGCAGCAGTGGACTCAGCGTGTGGAATTTATTTCCACTCCCATGTCCTTCAGCAGAGACGCAGGCAGGATAGGGGAGATTTCTGGCCCCTGGTAGGCACTGCAAGGAAGGCGACACAGACCAGGCCCCACTGGCTCCCCTGAGAGGAGCTGCGGCCTCGTCCAGTCCTCCGCGAGGGCGGAGCAGGCAGGATGCGTCAAGAGTGCGGGGGTAGTAACTGCACAGCACTGAGCCCTGCGGGGCGCCAGGCACGTCCCATGCTCAGCTCAAATGTCACCTCAGCAACTCTTCGAAGCCCGTTTTCCTTGTCTCATTCACAGACAAGGAGAGAGAGGTTTAGAGCGCTACAGCCCCTCGTGCGGGCCCTCAGTGTGCAGCCAGCGCCCAGACCGCGAGCGGCCGAGTCCACCCCTGCAGCGGGCTGGCAGGGCCTCCAGGGGCCCGTTTGCCCTCACTGTCCCCATCCTCCTCCTGAAGCCAGCATTAGCCTCCTCCAGTCAGGATCACGCGTTCACCCTCCCCGCGCCCCGCCCCGTGCAGGTCCCTGCCCTGTGAGCCAGTGGCCCTGAGTGCCTCGGTGCCCCGAGGAGGTCCTTTATCTCCTCCCCCATGCCCAAGTGCAGCCTGCTCTTACCAGGGAACCCGTTCACAGAGCGCAAGGAAAAGGCAGGACAGGAGAACCGGGAGAACAAGCCCCTGCGGGGACCCTCCACGCCCCACCCCAGCTTCCCTGCACGGGCTGGTGCCCGGTTCCTCCCCATCGGATCCTTCCTCTGAATTCGTCACGTTCTAGTGGCACTCCAGCTGGTTCACTGACACAGCTAATAAGTTATTTGGGGGTAGAAAAATGCCAAACCTCAAGAGTTAGAGGCGGCCGAAGTCTATCTGTTCCTGCCGCCCTTGCCACCAGACACAGTGAAAGCAAAGCGTGGACAAATTCTGCCCTGTGCACGGACGCTCATTAAAGCACCATTTCAAGCCAGCAGGCCCCGAAGGCTTCACACAGCCTGCTGGAGAAGCTCTGTGATGTCCCAGCTCTCTGTCCCTTTAGATGCTCTGACAGCACTCAAGGCAGACATGACAGCTTTATGGAGACAGGAGCTGGTCACTCTGACCCCTCACAAATGTGGGTTCTAGAATTAAGATCACAACTTTTCTCCAGCAGCACTGGGCCACCACTAGCCCTAAGGGCCCTGTGGGAAATGAGGAAAAGGCGCTCGTGCCCCTGGGCCTGCGTGCGCCCCGCGCAGCAGCCCCAGCTTGGAGAGGGGGTGTGAGGAGTTTCCCTGACTCATGCGCAGCTGCGCGGCGCCGGGCCCTGGGGGCTGTGGCCAGCACCGGCTGGGAGCCCCTCCCGCTCTTCCCAGGAGGTCGATCTGGCCCTGATGTAGCCTGGGGAGTGTGGTTTGGGGCTGGCCTGGGAGTGTCCCCTGGCAGGTTTGGGGGCTGGGGAGAAGCCCAGGCCCTTAGTGATCTCAAATCAAGGGAGCGCTCGGGTGTGCGTTTTCCAGGGATGTTGGCTCTGCGGTGTTGGAGGCTTCGTGAGAAGGTTCAGATCAGACTTGCTTGTGAAAACTGGGGTATGGATTCTGGTCAGAGAGAGAGTTCAGAAGAGAGGAAGCAGAAGGAAGGCTGTCTTCAGCTTCCTCCCCATGGGCATGCCCACCTGCAACTGTCTGTCCTTCCCAAGCCTGGCTGGGCGGGCGCTCTGGCTAGACCTGTGTGTGTGCAAGTCCTGCCTCTCTCCTCGCTGGCTGTGTAACCCAGGGGAAGGGGCCTCACCTCTCTGAGGCTCAGCTTCCTCATCTCCAAAAAAGAGATAAAAATAGTGCAGATCATCCAGAGTCGTTATAAAAACTGAATAATGTAGTGCTTGGCCCAGTGCCTGGCACGTAGTACGTGCTCAACAAATGCCAGCCAGCCTTAGTATTCCACATTGAGTGAATTAAGGAATTTGAAGCTTCAGTAGTTTATCAGTCAGCAGCGCTTCCTATGTCCTTGACACTACTTTGGGGCTGGGGCTGTGGTCTGCTGGTCGATATGTAACAACCAGCTTTCCAGGGAAAAGGCATTTTTGTAGCATTTGCCCATTTCTGTGGTGTAAACACTCCCACCGTGGCCATGTCGATTACCAGTGTGAGGTCCTGGACCGTGGAGTGGGGAGGAGACGTACACGCTCGCCTCTCACGGGCTCTGTGGGCTGGCTCCCTCCCACACACTGTCTGGGGTACAGAGACAGTAAGACACAGTCCCTTTCCTTAGGGGACTTTGCAACTTGCTGGGGACGCAGACACGCGGGGAGGCCATGGATCGCCATGTGGTTAGTGCGAGAACAGAGCTTGCCATCCAGGATTGCGGGGCACGGGAAGCGGCACCCAACCCGGGCTGGGAGGGTGTCCTGCGGGCAGCGGCGCTTGGGGCTGAGCCTCTGCAGGTGCTCTGGAGTCACTGCGGGGAGGAGGGCATTCTGGCAGGAGCACAGGAGAAGGGGAGGACACGTGGTCGGGGAGACCATCAAAGAGGTGCTGGTGGGGGGACAAGTTCAAGGCCTCAGGTGCAGCAGCGGAGGCTGGAGGAGGGGGAGGCAGGTGGCAGCCCGGGCTTCACAGAGGCAGGGCGGTCAGTCAGGGTCGCCTGCCAGTGTGTGTCCTTTTAAGCTCCAAGATGCAGGTTTGGACCCTCATTCCGTGTGGTCTTTCCCTTAGACAGTTCCCAGCACGCTGCTCGTCCAGCTGATCGAGGAACGCCTGGCCGAAGAGGACTGCGTCAAGCGGGTAAGACGCCAGCGAGACGGGGCCTTGGTACCAGAATTAGAGGGGAGGGTGAGGGGCGGGCGTTCATCTCCCAGGGGAGAGATGACAGAGGCACACGCGGAAGGCAAAGCAGACAAACAGAAGCTCGGCCAAGGTCAGTCTGCGGACATGGACTTCACCTTTGCTGGGGGAAAAGGAGTGGAATCGGGAGGATCCGTCAGGGCTCCCACGTGGAGGGGTCACAGGAGACCATTTAATGAGAGGACGATTGCCAAGTGTCAGAGGGTTAAGGCCACTGACCAGGGATGGGGAAGTGCCCAGGGACTGGCAGTGGCAGGGAGCTGTTATGCCCCTGGACCTGGCGGGGCAGGGAGAGGGTGACTTAGAGCTGTGGGAGCCCCAGGGGACAGGCTGCCATAGGCGGTTGGCAAAATAAACCACTGCAAACCGTGCAGGAGCAGAGCGAGCATGGGGGTCTCCCAAACTCTTGCCGCCTGTCCTTTGATCTCCCGCCAGTGCCATGCCGCTTCGGCCAGATCCAGTGAAGCCACAGGGCAGGGGTCCAAAGGAAGCAGTCAAGTGAGCAGCCTCCTGGGGTGCAGAGGACGGTGGAGAGGGCAGGGGCTGCTCACAGGATCCCTGTTGGGTGGGCACTATTAGTCCCCCTTTTACGGATGAGGAGACTGAGGGTCAGCTGTGTGAGCTGTACATATTTTCTTCCAGTCTGCAGTTTGTCTTATTCATGGTTTTTTTTTACCACATCTGTATAATTTGTTTTCAGTGGATGCCCTATTAACTACAGTGTGTGTACCCGCCTTGCCCAGCCAGCATCCGACCACTGCAAGCAGAGCGCACAGCAGGCCCCTTCCTGTCTGTGTTGCAGCTGTCTCACGCGTTAACATCCCATCAGACGGTTGTAATTTCTGCTTTCATTCATCATATTTTAAAGAATCCAAGAGCAGATTTACATCCGTGTAAATCTACCATATTTACCCAGATATTTATCATTTCAGTTGCTCTTCCTTCATTCCTCGTGTTCCAAGGGTCCTTTTCTGTCTGGAAAACTTCTGTGGGCATTTGTTTTAGAGTAAATCTCCTTCATCTCAAAATGGTTTCAGTTTGCCTTCATTCCTGAAGTATATTTTTTCTGGATTTAGGGTTCTAGGTTGACAGTTTTTTTCTTGGAGCGCTTTGCAAATGTTGTTCCACTTACTTTTGCCTGCCGTGGTTTCCGATGAGAAGCCCACAGTCACTGAGATTCTTTTATGAATAATGCATCATTTTTGTCTGGCTACTTTTAAGATTTTTTTCTTTGGTTTTAGTTCTCACTAATTATGATATGTCTGGGATAAATTTCTTTGGGTTTATTCTTTTTGGTGTTTGCTGAACTCCTTGAATTTATAGGTTTATTGTTTTTCTCCAAACTTGAGAAGTTTTCTGCCTTTATTTCTTAAAATAATTCCCTGCACCATGCTCCCCTCCTTCTGAAACTCTAATGACATGAACATTAGACCTTTCGGTATTGTCCCACAGGTCCCTGAGGCTCTGTTCTGTTTTTATTTTCCTTCTGTCTTTTTTCCTTTCTGTTGATCAGATTTCGTCACCTGTGTTGAACTGTGATCAGGTTTGTTGAATCTTTCCTCTTTGTTCCTTTCATTCCACTATTGAGCCCATCCAGTGAGTTTTTTTTTATTTTGGTTATGGTATTTCTCACTTCTAAAACTTCTATATGCTTCTTCTTTTTACCTTCTATTTCCTGGCTACTTTCGGTCTTTCCATCTGTTTACTAGTTGGAGCTTTTTAATAATAGCGGCTGTAGAGTCTTTGTCCGATAATTCCAACCTCTGAGTCATACTGGTGGTGATGTCCGTTATCTGTTCCCACCTGAGTAGAGATTTTCCCGGTTCTCCCTGTGTTGAGTAATTTTGTATCCTGGACATTTTTAATGCCGTCATGAAACTCTGGGTCTTGTCTAAATCCTGCGATGAATGTTGATATTTTTGTCTTAGCAAGGGACCGATTCAGTTGAGTTCAGGCTACGGGTTCCAGCCCGGCCTCTGCAGGTTGTGGTTTCGCCGTCAGTCCTGTTTCCAGCACCTTTGCAGTGCCGCGCGGGGGCGGTGCCGTGACTGTGCCATGCTGTGCAGCTCCGTGCCGCGTGTGCACCGCGTGTGATCTCTGCCGCAGTTCATTTTTCGGTGTCTTTGGAATGCTGTTCAGGGCCACACCCAGGCACGCACAGCTCGAGCGTGAGCCTGAGAATCCGTAAACAACTATATTCGGTTGCTTTCCTGAGCGCCCCTCTCCACCATCGCCCTGGTAACTTGCAGTCGCCTGGTGCTCCTCTTCCCGGTCTTTTGCCTTGCCAGGAATTGTTGGCCTACCTGCCTCCCCAGCCAGCATTTCCTAAAAGTACTCATTTGTCCATTCATTTATTCTCTTATGCAACAAATCTTTACTTTTATAAGCATGGGGGCCAAAGCAGTGAACAAAAGAGGTAAATGCTTTGCTCTCAAGGAACACAAATTCCAGTCGCGGGGAGACAATAAACCAAATAAATAAGCCAAGCGTGCAGTCCCGCCGTCAGCCGCCGACGGGCTTAGAGGAGCACAGCAGGAAGAGGCCTGGCCGTGGAGGTGCCGCGCGGGCCCCTCTCCCGGGTCCACGCCTCACGGACGTCGCAAGAGGCCACGGGCGGACTGGAGGCAGGAGGCAAGACAGGAGGGAAGGGAGAAACTCGCTGTCACATCACTGGTGACCCTGAAGCAACTGGCACGGAAGCTGAGGCATCTGGGGACCACCGAGCAACCCTCTAAGTCACCATCCTTTCCAACCTCAGAACATAGGAAATGATACCATTTTGTATAAGATATTGTTACAAATTACTGCCTCCCAACTTAAGTGTTTCTGGCGTGTAGGCATTCCACCTGGAGTCCAGACCTGGAGAGGCTCGGGGTGGTGGCGTTGAATGGTCACGTGTATGTCCTGCACACACCCTTCAATCTGGGCTGCCCTTCTTCTCCCGTGCTGAGACCTAAGAAATGCCGTATGGTTTAGACATAGGATCCAGGTGGCCTGGACAGGTTTGTTTCTGTGATTTTTTATCGTTTTAATCTTTGTATGTCACTGAGTGATGGTTTCTGGGGGAAATATGGTGGTTTTCTCTGTGATTTCAGATAGATTTCCCAAAGGTGCCCTCAGTGATCTAGAATAGTCTCTCAAACATGCATTTAACTTCTGTAAACGCTTCTCGACCTTGTTGAAAAGCTTGGTCTGCACCACCTTTCCGCATAGTGCGCCTGCAGCGCGCACAGCGTACGAGACCAAGCGTCCCCGGTCCTTACCGACAGCTACCACCGTCGTCGAACTGGTGATGCAATTTATTGTTTGTAGTATCAGTTAATAATAGCAATTATACTATTATTGACCTCATTAGTTATATTACACTATATGTGATTACATGGTATTGTAATTACTATATTGATTATACGAATATTTATAATCTTGTTATCATTATGATTATTTGGATGATGGCGGTACTTTTTGTCTGGACGCCTGGTCTGGCCTGTCATCCGTTACGTCACGTTGCAGGTGCACCTTGCACTGTGCAAAGAGGCTGTAATTATCATGTTGTTGGTGGCTACCCTTGACTGGGAGGGCAGCTCATGCAGCCAGGGCCGTGTGTTGCGTCTAGTACCTGACCGAGTCTTTACGACAGCCCCCTGGAGGCCGCACTGTCACTACCCCTATTTCGCAGATGCAGAAGTGACGACTTGCGGATGTTGTGTATCCTGCTGAAGGTCCCACAGTAAGCCCAGAACCACGAGGCAAGCACGACAGTGTGCTGTCGGCCCCTCGGTTCTTGTTTCAAAGGCCACGTCTTGGAGGCATGGGCAGTGTTACCCTGGTGAGAGCTTCACTTCCGTAGGCCTCAGTTTCCCCACCTGTAAGACCACAGGGTTGGGCTTGAGCACAGAAGCCCCTTCTGGCCCTACAGTCTATGATCTTGATCATATCGAAGCCATTGTTACCTGCAGAGTAAAGAAATATCTCTTTCAATTTGTTTTAAAATTTCTTCTAACCTTCAAGGGGCATCCAGTGCCTTTTCATCTCCTCCCGGAGGAGACAGGATTTCAAGAGTAAGAGGTTAGGCTTCTAATTATGTGCTTTGGTTGTTCAAAAACAAAACAAACCCTCATCCAAAATAAACAGGCCTTCTTGCTTTTAGGGAGAAAAATGACACATATGCATATTCATTTATATGGTAATTATTATTATTTAGCTACACAGGGACTAGAATTGGTAATTTAGAGCACAAAAAGAATGCAGGCAATAGTGTTCAGGGAAAAATAATGCAATCATAGCCCATCAGGATTCTGTAGTTAATGCTGGGGGTTTTTCTTTCTTTCTTTTTTTTGCCTAATGCAATCTCTTTGAAGAATTTTTTTTTGAGGTGACCATCAAATGCATTGGAGAAGGAGAAACTAGCACTTCGCACTGGAGCTGTCAAAAGGGGGTGGCTCTGTCTGTTGGAGACCCATTATCCATTCCTTAGGGACAGTCAAGGTCTTGCGGTCAGAATGTGCCCAGACCTTCAGACCACATCTCTATGGCAAAGGAAAGCCAAGGAATACAACAGTGAGTTCTGGAAATTTGGGGGAAAAGCCTCAAAACTAGAGATTCTAAATTTTACTTTGGCCGTAGTCACCGTTTGTGCTCCACGTTATTTGAGTTCCTAAGAACCCTCCTTTATGTGCGCCTGGTCCATCTCCCTGCAGCTGTCCTGGTTTCCTCCCGCTCCTGTCTTCATATTGCTGCCGGAGGGGTCGCTTCTTTAAAAAATGAATGAATTTCTTTCTTAACTGCAGTACATTCATTCATATGGTTCAAAATTCAGAAGGCACTGACGTCCCCCTCACTCCTGTTCCCTAGCCACCGGGTAGCTTCCCTGGAGGCAACTGATGTTAACACCTTCTTGGAAGTACATCCTTCTGAAGATTATTTTATTCATAGAGAAGATG